AGTTTGTTCCAATACGAAGATTGTGACCAGGGCCGCCCCTGGCCAACTTGGGGCCCCAAGCGACATTGTGAGATGAGGCCCTCCCCCCAACCGACAGGAGTGAAACACATTTTTTTGGAAACAAAGTAGGCTACTTTGCAAATATAATTCCTGTTTATTATTAGTATCAACAGTTACTTTTGTATACAGTGAGGTAAATGGTAAATGTGCATGTACGTCTGTATTTCCTGCCAAATACTAGCCTCAAAAAGATTAAAATATAATGAATGCAAATAAACTACTTCTACTAATAATAATAATCATAATCAACTCAATAATATAAATACTATATTATTTTATTATAATATAGTTGTAATATAGTCAAGACAAAACATGTTTATGACATGCTCAAAAACTGATATTTCTTAAATCTGTATTCAAACGTAGTTCCCTCTGTCAGCAATGTATCAACAACCACACACACATTTCTATCAGTATTTCTCTGTGTTGTGGTTGACATGATGATGACTGTTAGGAGTTAAGGGGAGAGGCTGAGCATCACCATGAAATGTGCAAATTGACATAAAAATGAATAAAAGGGGACAAAATGCTCCACGTTTTTTAAGCTGTAAACTTTAACTGTTATGTAAGCCAACTAGACAGACAGTGTATCACTCTTCCTCCTGTACATTAGCAGATAAAAGGCATAACTTACTTGAATGAATGGTAAATAAAGAATGCTGGAAATAACTGCATCTCCATTAGCCTGTATGCTATGCAGAGACTGCCTTCTTCATGTCGTGAATTGCAGCTGATGTTTTAATATGGCAATTGGCAATTTGACTTATACAACATTCGCAAGTTGTACATTTGACTCATTCAATAACCCACCTTCGAGTGATGCTCTAGTTTCTTCATGTTTTGTTTTTTTCCCTCTTGCTTGTGCCGGACTGAAACTGTCTTTTCACCGACATCTCTTCACCTGCACTAGTGGCCGTATCAAAGCCGTGATTGGTCAGATCTCGATTCATTGCAACGGTGTCGGGTTACAAACGTGCTCCCCTTGTCACCTCTCACTCTCGCGGGGGATGCGCGGAGAACTGAGCGGAGAACTGCGCACAGCAGCTGAGGCCCTCTGGGCGGGGCCCCTGCGCAAGGCGGGGCCCCATGCAGCCTGCGTGATTGGCCTGGAGTGACTATCTGAAAAGTGTCCTTAAAACGAGCCTCCTCGCAATTTTATGCACATTATTTATTTAGCCGTTTGCTGTTTAATCTGATGGGAAATATATCATTCAAAAATCAAAAGAGAGAGAAAAGCTTATTAAACTAGACGAACGCTCAATACAGGCGATGACGTCACGTTTGCGCGTCCCCGCGAACAGGTCTTCAATCTACGGCAAGGCTTCAATCTACGGCACAACACCGGTGCTCTGGCGGTCGGTTCCTCCGAACTGCGGGTTCGACTCTGATGGCCGGGAGGGTGTGCTGCATTGGGGTGGGGGACTTCCCCCACTCTGCGTGTCTTCCCCCACTCTGCGTGTCTCTTCCTTCCCGGAACGGCCGATATGAAGCGTGACCAAGACGCACCGTACAGGGGTCCCACGGGTCCAGCAGCGGGGTGAAGGTTCCCAGCTGGAACCTCCCCACCTCCGCCGCCGGTGCACCCGGCAAACACGGTTGTTTCTCGAACCTTCCACTGTTGTCTAGCGGGTGTAACTAAAATACAAGATGTCGTATTTATATAAATAAATATATATATATATAGATAATAAGTGTCAGTACGATTTTATTTTGTATTTGCGTGCATTTCCTGTTCGGAAAGTGGCGCTGCGGCTGTACTGATAGTAACAACAATACAAGGTGTCCGTATATATATATATCTATATATATATAGATATATACATATGTATATAATAAGTGTCACGATCCGTCAAGATCCGATTTTATTTTGTATTTGCGTGCATTTCCTGTTTGGAAAGTGGCACTGTACTGATGGTAGTGATTTTATTTCGGAATTCTTAGCGTGCACTTCCTGTCCTGAGAGTGGAGGTCTGCAGGCAGACCCTCTCATTATTTTTGTTCAGTCATTCGTTTTTTCCCAATGTCTTGTGTGAGTAAACTATAACTCAAAGGGAAACTTATTTAGCTTATTTACTTTATCTTTACAGCAAAAAAGACACCCTTTGGTGTATTTTGATATTCAAATGAGATGGAAATACAACTAATGTTCTTTGATGAATATAATATTCAGCTTCTTTTTTTTTCAAGCAGCAATTAGACGACAATGTGGAAGTATTCTGTTCATCACTTATTTCATTAGTGTGATTCAATTATGTGATGCTTGATTGTGGGAGAACATCATTCCTTTCATGTTGTTTGAATGGAGATGAACGATATTGCGTCTCATTATTTTTGTTTTGCTGCATATTCTTACTTGAAAACTTAAAGTCTGTTTGCACTGAACCCGGCTCATAAAACGATTCCACTAATAGCAATTAAAGTGGAAATGGGACATACATAGGAATGATATTTGCAAATAGAACCACCAAATCAGTGAAATATTAAATAATATATATGTTATCGCAAATGTGTAACCTACATGGTATATTCAATGTTTTTATATGCGTTTTTCCTGGCACTAACTGCAAAACAAGTACAGCTTCATGTTTATGTTTAACAAAAATGCCTTTGCCAGAGAACTCAATTAGGGGTAACAAACAGGCGGGGGATATAACTGACTGGTTCCTCTCTCATGGAGCCTGCCTATTTGTGCTATCCGACTAACATGCATGTCCATGTTTAGTCAACAACAAACCCAGCAGGTGCTTGGTGTGTGTGTGTGTGTGTGTGTGTGTGTGTGTGTGTGTGTGTGTGTGTGTGTGTGTGTGTGTGTGTGTGTGTGTGTGTGTGTGTGTGTGTGTTGGAGTAGATACTTTGTTGCTTTGTTGGAGCGGCTAATTTGACCATCTGGACTGTTAACACTCTAACAGAGGGACTGGTTGCAGTATCAGTACTGTGCGCATACACAGAACTCCACAATAATCACGTATGTACACACACACAGTAGATCCATGCACATATAAATAAACACGATGTACAGAATCAAAAAACACGAACATAGGCATTGGCAGGCAAAAACAGGTTCTGTGCTTCACTGGAGAGTTACAGTCTGAGCAAAGCACATTCTGAACCATCTGAACCAATCCGAGCCAGACTAATTAACACACACATTTGCATCTGTACGAATCAAACCTCCACCATGACTCCCCAACCTGTCGGAAACCTGATGAATCGGAGATGCAGCGTGTCTCTGTGCTGTGCTTAGCTCAGCTCGTACAGTTTTTAAGAGATTTGCACATAAACACACACGCACAAAGTTGACAAGCAAATAAGGAAAACAAGCAAATAAATCAGACATGTACGCTCAAAACAACTTCATTAACAAGCATGCAAAACAATAAACTACATGGACAAGCACAACTTCACTTCATGTTAGTGAACCTTTTTGGTTTTCTGACATGTATTGGCTTATATATCAAAGTATGTGATCGTTTATTTTGTATTAAACCTTCATTTATACATCCCTTTAGATTACAATCCTTTTTACGAAGGAGGTCTGGCCAAGAAAGCACACAAATAAATCATGTCCAAAAACAGATAATGAACAACAGATAAATAATATAAATCTACCTTAGGAATTGCATGCATCTTTACATATGTACATTTATGCATGTTCAATATTGTATGAACATCTGCAAATGACTGTGTAATACATGTGTCTAGTGTTTGTGAATAATCTAGGTGGGAAACATAAATGCACACACATGTTAGCACCATTATGAGTATAATGTGAGAGGGTATTTATGTGAGAGTGTAATATAGACACAGAGAGAGTATGGTGGGGATATAATAAAGAGAAAGAAAGATATAAAGAGGGAATTTAATTTAAGATCACTCTAGAAAGTATGAAGTTTATATTTCTGACAGCTTTAATAAGTGAAACGTCAGTTAGAAAATGTAATAACACTTTTAAAAAGTAATATTTTCCTTCAACATTTCCCATGGTTTCAATTGTTGAAAGGGCTATGAACAAAATGGAATAATATTCATGTGAGAATTGTTGCAGTACGGTGTGTCAAATGACTTGAACCATTGGCACCCTCACACTCGATAGTTTCCCTTCAGGATGTCTTATTAAAGAGTTTGCAAAGTGCTACACATTTGGATTTCTCAAAGTTAGACGAAATTGTAGTAGTTTCAAAAGAAGAGCAGTAAATTAATAAGGCGATTTCTGGTTCTTATTAAGAGTGAACCCCTATATTGTGTGTATATAATCTTAAATGTACATTTGAATTATTGAAGAGATACATAAAACCCACTCACTCTAGCATTGGCCAATATAGTAGAGGGGTTTTGTAAAAATGTCAATAATTGCTTTGTTGCCCTCTAATGACAAGGTCCACAAACTGTTGTTAAGTGTGTGATCAGAAGATAAGAGCAGAAAGAAAAGAGAAGAGAGCGATGAGGAAATAAAGGAGAAGAGGCAGGAGGGAGCGATAAACAATATAGCATCAGCTGATTTACATCCGCTGAACAAGCCCAAAGCGAGCCAAAAGAAACCATGATTAAGCTTATCAGAACAAGCCTCGATTAAATATATCAAAGCAAGCCATGAAGAATCATGCAAAAACCAAGACACCATGACACAAACACACACACAAAACATCAAACAACACAAAGCAGTCGAGCAGCATGCAGAAGCTTGGTCTTATAAAAGCTGTGGATGTTTCAACACTTCTCTGTAGCAAAAACGATGTTGGTCTGAATTGATGTAACCACATGCTGTCTACAAAACAACTCGTGACTCGTCTGCATTGTCAATAGAAAAGGGCACAGAGTGTTGAAACCAACAGCTTTTTTAAGAGGCCATTTTAAAAAACAAACAAGGCAAATGTAGAAACACAATCAGTCCAAGCCATCACACGTTCATTAGCCATATTGACATTAAGATGTGAACTCACATATTGAAAACTTGTTGCTGGAGTCTTTGCCAGGGAATAATTTAACGCCCCGAGATTTAAAATCTACTGATCGCTTCACTGCAGAGGAGAACAGAAACAGAAAAGAGAAAAATCAGACAGCAGATTGAATAAATTGGTGGAAGAAATAAGATCTAGCGAAGGCATAACAAAAGGCAGATTCTTCTCCCTCACAAGGCGGAGAGGAAGAAGTTACAGTGACAAAGAAAGTTACAAAGGAAATGTTCAAACGGTGGGAACAGACAGCGAGACAAAAGCTGGTAAAGGAAATGTTATCTTTAAATACAATAACAATGATGCCTCTCTTTAATCAAAGCATTCAGATAATGATACTTTAAATAATAATAGTTCCTTTAATCAGCGTAAATCAAGAGTAAATCACGGAGGTATTCTTGTCAGCATGAGCTCAGTTTTTCTTACATAGGGGAAGTTAATTGATATCAGTGTTGGGCCTGCATGTTTCTACAGCTCGGCATGTATGCAAAGATACACCATGGAAGACAAAGTGAGTGGGTGAGAGCTGTATTAAAAACCACACAACAATACAACAATAAAACACCCTGGGGTAATTTCAATACGACTCCATCCAAACTTGATTTTGTTCCCCTGTCAAAATAATTCAGTACATTACCAACATAAATAATGAAACACACATATATATATTTTCCATTATGACAAAGTGCAGTGACAAATCTGTTTAATAAATGTCTGATGGTGGCTGACAGACGTAGTTTCATAATGGCCAAAATAATCCATTGAATCGTGACAAATGGCTGATGAGTTCATGTGCTCCTATTATCCTAATGTTATACATACAGTAGGCTACACCAGGGATCACCAACTACATTTGTCCAAGGGCCAAAATGTATCCAATAGACACTATTGCGGGTCAGCGATTTTTACATAGCCCAGAATTTTGAAGCTGTTGACTCCTCACGCTAACGAAGGATCACTTCTAGGCAGGGTTGGGAGGGTTACTTTGTAAATGTCGTCAGTTACTGAATACTGAATACATGCTCTGAAAGTCATCAGAATACAGTTACGTGTCTTAAAAAAGTATTCAGATTACTTTTAGAATACTTTTGGAATACTTTCTTTTTCCATAACAGATGGGTATGTTTCGGTGAACAGGAGACACGTATTTTACTGTTTTGATGGCTTATCAAGAACTCAAACACAACATCTTGGTGTCATTCTGGACAGCTCCCTCATAAAAAACATCACCCGGACTGCATTATTTGTACTGCCTTAAAAACTTTCCTTGGAATATGTTATGAATTGTAAGGTGTCCTTGGGTGCTTTGAAAGGCGCCCCTAATAGAATTAATTATCATTATTATTATTATTATCTGAAACGATGTAATAACTTTTAAAACTGTTTCCAGTCACTTGGCCCATGCATTCAGCAGCAGCAGGCCATTCACTTTGATTTCATCCCGTTATAAATGTCATCATTTCGACAATAAAGAAATGCTACATAAACGTTATCTTTCACATTTTATCTAACCATCTCCGTTTCTAACTTTCAATATATTTTAAAAGAGATCCCTCTCTCTCTCATCTGCGTGCGGGGGCGGGGCCTCACAGACACGCTGCATCTCTCTCGCTCACAGACATGCTGCAGCGCTGTGCAGTATGCACACAGTTCTGCCGGTAATGAATATTACATTTTGTGAGGAAACTTTTCCACCAATAATTCCAATAAGTATTCCAAAATGTATTCACTTCAGGTTTACGAAAGTAACTGTAATCAGATTACTCGTTTTTCAAATGTAACGCCAGCTGAATATACTTGATTTTTGTATTCTGATTACGTAACGCCGTTACAACCCAACCCTGCTTCTAGGCTACTGTCCCGCAGCTCCTGCCTCTCTGTTGGAATCTGTCGCAGCGGGGCTACTGCTGTGGTGCGGAGCGCACAAAGCAGACTCTCACAACGAAGGATCACTTCTTCTTCAAGGCAGGGAAGGTTTCGCAGTACGCAGTCTACTGTCCCGCAGCTGATGCCTCTCTGTTGGACTCCGGTACTTCACCTTACTCACGAGACGTTGTAAAAAAAAACGCACTAACCACTCCGCCAACGCCGCAGTCACCCCCGTCGTGCGTGCCGGATGAGAATGTCTGGCGGGCCGGATGTGGCCCGCGGGCCGCCAGTTGGTGGTTACTGGGCTACACACATGCACATACATCAGTTACATGATATCTGACGTGGTTGAATTGCACCGTGAGCATGTTATGCCAACAATTATCCTAATGTTGCAAAATGTATGCATGTATTTTAATGGTTCTCTACTTAGCATGTTGACATAATATGAAAAACATGAATGTGTTTAAGATGAATCTTGTGTAAAGTGGCTGAACATTAGCTCCATATGTGTTATGATGAAATAATGTGATGACAAGGAGCAAGAGACACTGACCCCACACAATATACTCTATTTTAATGAGAAATGTATTGGGTACTTAATACACGTAGTTAAATGTATGTTTATACACTCTCTTCAGACTAGTATTCTATAGCGATCCCTCCTTAATTAACCTCGACCTGCAAACATGTTCTTATACGACACGGAAATACTCCATGTTTTACACTTGAAATGTATCGTAATACACAAGGTTTTCATCTCACCATGGGCAGTGTAAATCAAAATAAAAGCTAAACCTTGGGGCTTGATTTATGTCTCTTTTTTATTGAGGTTGAGCCTGGAATGTCCCTTTGTGTAAGCCGAGGGGTTGGGAAATCATGTCCTTTTATTGCTGTAAATAAAAACCCGCAAGATTTTGTACATAAAGGTCCACTGTGATTCCTCCAGATCACAAGCACATGGTGATTTATTTCAACATTGAATAGTTTGGTTTCAAAGTACATTAGCTTTAGGCCTTGATGTCATTTGAGGCTGTTTAATGCTTGTGTGCGTTTGCAGTTATGTCAGCAATGGCAGTGTGCTCTGTTTTGTTGGGAAAGTTAATTTAATAAGTTTAGATTTCCTTACATCAAGTTCTCCATTTATGAGCTTGCTCCAATCAACCCATACATTTCAGCAGCTTATGACTGCGTCAAAACACATAAAGTGAAGGCAAAAACACTTGAACTAACCTTACAGCAATCCACCTACACAGAAAACACAAATTATTATCCCTGACACTGGTGTCATCGCTATTCAAAATGAGGGGGCACATGCTTGATATCTGATAGTATCTCTCGCATAAAAAGCGTCTTTTACTGCATTTCATTTATTATAATTAAGAGCAGAGATTATGCAAATGTTTTCAGGTCATTTCACAAACTGTTTGGTGCAACTAGACAGCTGTGTTAATAATTAGCTCACAAGAAACTAGGATCATTTGGACTGAATGTATTTCCTGTTTTACTGCATTGCAGACATGGCAGAGATTTCAGATGGATACATCTTCAAGTGCCTCTAAGATTAGTTGGTATTTTTTCAAATGTGTGTACATTAATGCAAACAAAGATAAAGCAGAACATGGCAGGGTATAACAATACATATTTGTGGTGTGGTTGAAACATGTATTTGTCCCAAGTGACAGAAATTAATAAGATTCATCAACATGCTATTGTTATCTTTGCCAAACGATGGAAAGCTGTGACCTAGATCAAAGTCTTTTGAATTCCAAAATGAATTCCAAAACTGATTGCAAATCCTCTTAGGCAGCCAAATCAGGGAATCTAGGCCAAAAATTGTTAAAAGTCAAATTTGTTTTCTCCTGCGCAAATTAATTCACTGTATCAAGCCCCTGTTAATATGCATCATAAAACCTCTCCTGTGTGAATATGCATCAACGTTAAATATGCCCATGTTAATATTCTAGCATACAAGCAGCAGCTCAACAGCAAACAGATGTGAGGGCAGATGCATTTAAGTAAACCATATTTATGAAGTTTAATTTATTGCACAAAACTATATTTAACTGGCACCAGAATAAATAAGAACGGAACCAGGGTTCAACAGTAAGAGAGTCAAAAGCTACTCCAATAAAATACACACTGTACCATATACAAAAGCATCTCTTTGAGTCTGACGAATATTAACATATATATTTTTCTTTCTGAATGCTATACCTACTCTGCTACCCTAGGCAGCATACAACTAAATGACTCGCTCATTTTAGTCATACTTGCCTGTTAACCGTAATACCATCTGGATTTCACATTTCTAAAGAGTGCTAATGTGCAGCAGTGAGACATCCTCTAAGGAGGTGTTTCAGGCAGACAGGCATTGCGCACTTTGGTTGAACTCACCAGCTTGTGTGCTAGATGTCCCTCGCTGGTGTTTAGAAATACCTACATGAGAACTCAAATACGAACTGTGGGTTATGGTAACATGTGATGTAGGCTGAAACCAATCACGGAGGAGTTCAGAAAATCAGCTTCAAACATATGCTCCTCTGTCTTATTTCCAAACTTGAACAGTCAAATTAACATATCAAACTGTAGCCTCTGATTCATTTGGAAATGTCGAGGATAAGTTTGGAGGAGTTTAGATTTAAAATGGGAAACATGATATTTAGCTGAGGTATTACATAAGAAGTGCATTCTTACGAGGAATAAATAGTTTGAATCATCAAAGTTTTCAAGCAATAGTTTGAGATTTGGTTGAAAGTTAGAGAGATTATGGTTTCCTCCTGTTTCCAGTCTTATGCTAAGCTAGGCTAACCAGCTGCTGCCTGTAGCTTCACATTTAACAGACATACATGAAGTTGGTATTCCATAAAATATTAAACTATTAACTTAAGTAACATAATATTGTCTATACAATGCTAATGCAAATACAAATGACTTCTGAAAAACACAGTCACATTTAATATATGTATGAAAGTATGTATTCTGCATGACATTTGCATTGGTATTTACTAGGCAAAAGTGGTTGTAAAACAAATTGTATATAGGCTAAAATCCTGAACAAATACCTCTGCCTACATTTTATTAATCGCAGTTTTAATATATGCAATTAGTGAGTGCAATCAGTGGGTGGGGATAGTTGTCAGTGCTGTAGACATCCTCCACATTTGATAAGCCGTTTTGTAACCACATAACAGCAA